GCACTGTAGTCCTTATTATACAGGTTATTGTCCCTTGGGACTAAATTTCAGTTTCATTTTGTAATTAAGATAGGGGTTTTCCTACAAAACAAAATATTGCATAACAGCGCAGGCATTTATTGTTGTTGGCTCTGGAGATCAGAGCACACTCTGTCAGTCATGTCCATCTCTATCCCTCTAGTTCTGCATTTTTAACGCATGACTTAATGTTTATGACAGGCTTTATGGAGGGTGGGAAATAGATTGTGCTCAGTTTCAAATACACATCTAGTGCTTCATCTGAGAAAAGGGTTTTAAATTATGTTGACATCCATCTCAAATGTGTATCATTTTAAAACCACTGAGCGCTTTGTACCGACTTCCACTTCCAGGACGCTTTGACAGAGAAGTGGACATTGGCATCCCTGATGCGACCGGCAGGTTGGAGATTCTGCAGATTCACACCAAGAACATGAAACTAGCTGACGATGTTGACTTGGAACAGGTTTGTGCACATTACTCCCATTAGGATATATGACTCGGAAAGAGGGGTGCTTTTTATGTTTGTTTGTTTCTTTTTTTAATAACTACGCCATAAGTAACATTCTGCCATTTATATCCTAACTTTTTGTTCCAATAAACTGGCTTAAGTAAACTTGATGCATATGGATAATTAGTCTAAGTATACTTTGGTTTGTCATATTTAAATTTCCCTACGTATTTTGTCTTACAAAAAGTTTTAAATGAGAGAATATTTACATATATGGATGGCCCTGAAAGAACTCCTAATATGCAATTCCCAGTTTTGAAAACTCATGGAGCTAACAAATCATTTACTTTTAATCTCATCAGTTCTTATATTCAGTTTTATTAGATATGACTGCATAATCAAAGATTTCAGAAATTTGTATTTTTGCTGAAATTGCTGAATTTTAAGTATTGTCTTAACTGTGGCGACCTTTTGAACCACAATTACAGTGCCCTCATTGAGAATCTTAACATTTTTGTTTGCAGGTGGCCAACGAGACCCACGGCCACGTCGGTGCGGATCTGGCGGCTCTCTGCTCCGAGGCCGCCCTGCAGGCCATTAGGAAGAAGATGGACCTGATCGACCTGGAGGACGAGACTATTGATGCCGAAGTCATGAATTCTCTTGCCGTTACCATGGACGACTTCAAGGTAAACCTGTAATCTGATCGCTTCAAATGGATTTTAGGTGCCTCAGTTGGCCAGTAATGGCTGTCTTTGTCGATATTAACTCGGTCAACACTGTGTTGCAGTGGGCTCTGAGCCAGAGCAACCCATCAGCTCTGAGGGAGACGGTTGTTGAGGTTCCCAATATCACCTGGGACGATATTGGAGGTCTGGAAGATGTCAAGAGGGAGCTGCAGGAGCTGGTGCAGGTATGAGAGAGATTATGCTAGAAAGGGGTTCTTTATTCTTTTCAAACTTGGAGTATTTTCTTACTGTAACACTGTTGTCTCTCTGTGCATAATTCAGTACCCTGTGGAGCATCCAGACAAGTTCCTAAAGTTTGGCATGACCCCATCCAAGGGTGTGCTTTTCTACGGTCCTCCTGGTTGTGGTAAGACTCTGCTGGCCAAAGCCATTGCCAATGAGTGCCAGGCAAACTTCATCTCCATCAAAGGACCCGAACTGCTCACTATGTGGTTTGGAGAATCTGAGGCTAATGTCAGAGAGATCTTTGACAAGGTATGTTCTCTTTGTTTTTGTTTTTTTTTCTTCTTCCAGGTCAGTCCATTTAAATCCAGGCCTTCAGAGGAACAGTCTTAAGTCAGTTTCCACATCAAAATAAATGCATAAAAAATAAAACGGAGTATAAATAAAGGTTGCATTAGTTTTATTTCATATAGAACAAATGTAGTGCTTCTCATGTTGACATATTTAATTCATCTTTTTATTTGCCATGTCTTAATTGGAATTTTTGTTAAATGTAGTTTTGTTTATGAAAATAGTTATTTAGGTAGAAAACAAATGGCTCTGAAACGCAATGTGGATGTTTGCAAGGGAACAGTTGCTCAGATGGATGAGAGAATCTGTAAAATAAACATCTAATAACATTTCACAGCTTTGATGGCATCTTGATCTTGAATCAATTTTTCAACTGAGACTGTTTTGTTACCAACTCATAGAACACTTTTTTTATTAACTTTGACAAGTTGATTAAGTGAATAAAATCCTTAGCTTTGCTCTGAATTTAGTTTTAGTTTTGGATAATTTTGTATGTATCATATAACATGCAAACAACATATTCATGTTCTCAGTGTCCCCAAGTATATTTAATTTGGATATGAACACGTACAGAACTTTCAAATATAAAACGTACCCCGTCTTAAAACCGTTGTCCTTGTGTCCTCAGGCTCGTCAGGCTGCTCCGTGTGTCCTCTTCTTCGACGAGTTGGACTCCATAGCTAAGGCTCGCGGCGGCAACGTTGGCGATGGCGGCGGAGCCGCCGACCGTGTGATCAACCAGATCCTGACCGAGATGGACGGCATGTCGAGCAAGAAGAACGTCTTCATCATCGGCGCCACCAACAGGCCAGACATCATCGACCCGGCCATCCTGAGACCTGGCCGTCTGGATCAGCTCATCTACATCCCTCTGCCAGATGAGAAGAGCAGGATCAGCATCCTGAAGGCCAACCTGCGCAAGAGTCCCATCAGCAAGGTGATTGCGCTGTTTGTTCATGGTCTATTTACTGGCATCTTTGAGTTGAGTGTAATGATATTGCATTGTATTCTAGTAAAGATCTCCTAAATACCTTTCAGTCAAGTTTATTTGTACAGCACATTCCAGTAACAAGGCAGTTCAAAGTGCTTTACATCATAAAAACATAAAGTCATAAACATTTCCAATAGAGAAGCCAGTAACAAACGTTACATTTTGTGGGGTGTTATCATCAGAATCAATAAACATTAAATAATCAACACACAGCAACTTTAACATTTATGTGTTTAGAAGAGACTTTTAGGCTGACTGTGAAATCAAACCCAAAACAAGATACTAAGCAATTTTTACTTTTTTTTTTAACCCTAAAGGATGTGGACTTGGACTTCTTGGCTAAGATGACCAATGGCTTCTCAGGCGCTGATCTCACAGAGATCTGCCAGCGGGCCTGTAAGCTGGCCATCCGAGAGAGCATCGAGAACGAGATCCGCAGAGAGCGGGAGAGGCAGACGAACCCATCAGCCATGGTCAGTGCTCTGTGAGGCAGAGCGTCTGCTCCCTGCTGCTCAACGCCTCATGATCTCACCCAGAACTCCTTCATCTCTGTCCTTGTAGGAGGTAGAAGAGGATGACCCCGTGCCAGAGATCAGGAAGGACCACTTTGAAGAAGCCATGCGGTTTGCCCGTCGCTCTGTCAGCGACAACGACATCCGCAAATACGAGATGTTTGCTCAGACACTGCAGCAGAGCCGAGGCTTTGGCAGCTTCAGGTATACTTTCCGATGGGTTTGACCTACTTATGCCTCTTAGATTTGTTCTTATTGGAGGGCATAAAGTGACTGATGAGTAATCAGCACATTATTTGGAAACCATAGCTGTCATTACAAAAGATATTCTTAATTAACAAATTACTACGTTCTTAAATTCTGTTTTATTAGTATCACAATCCCAATCAGTTTACATTTTGACTCAAAGTTTATCTGAAATGATTTGATGCTGGAGCTGAATATCTTTCTTCTTCTTCTCCTCCCTCCCAGGTTTCCCTCCAGCGCTGCAGGTGGCAGCGGTCCAAGTCACGGCTCTGGTGGAACTGGTACTGGCCCAGTGTTCAACGAAGATAATGACGACGACCTTTATGGATAAATACCTACTGCCCCCCAGTGGTCGGTCATGGGATCACACCTGTACAAATTCTCACCAGATTCCACATTTTTAGGACTTTGTGCTTCTTTCATGTGTTCCCTTCTTTTTTCTTTTTTTTTCCTTTATTTTGTATAATTTCTCTTGGAAACAGCATGTAGCCACTTGGTTTGCCCTGACTTTGATGTGGGTGGGGGACTGGGATGACGAAAATGGAAGGTGAGTGACCGCAAATGAGGATCAGAGAAGGCGGGGTTGGCGTTTTTTTTGTTTTGTTTTTGTTTTTTTTGTTTTTTCAGTGGCTTCATTGTCAGTATATCTCAAAAAATACATGAATGGCTATAGTGATGGGGATTTCTGCTAGACTCTGAATGAAAAACATTGCTGATGACTTTTTTTTCTTTTCTTTTTTAAAATAAACAGTAGCATATAATGTATTACAAATTTGTCAAGGTTATGTTGTTGCAAATAAAATCTCACTAAATGGAGACGTTACTAAGGTCTCTCTGCTGTTTGTTTAGATTAGTTTAAGGGTTTTTAAGGCTTGATTAAGATTTTATTGCAATTTCTATTAGGATGCCATGTCATTTGCTATTATTTTGCTCTCATTGTTTTATCAAGTACAAAGTCAGAACAGTCATCCATCAGGAACTTTAGGGTTAAATTTAAAAAAGCTTGTCTCTGCTTTAGAGACCCTGAGTTAATATTCCAGCAGAACTTAGTTTCTCCTTACTTTCAACATCGTGTAGCAGAAGGCTGCTCTTGGTTCAAGTTGAACCTTTCTAACGCCTCAGCAGAACATCAAGCTAATCATCTCTGTGCTACTGATGCAATAATTCACATAAAAGAAGAACCAACCAATACTGTGGAGGGCCCTCTAGGGTTTACATTCTGGTGCCAACATTCCTTGGTTTTAATGTGATATTCAGTTTTTTGGGGGAATTCAATTCACTGGAAGTCATAACCAAAAGGTACAGAAATGATCTAGAACTAGATCTCTATCACAATGAAACAGTTGGATGGTGTAGGAATCTTTAAATATCTGGTGGCTGAGAGGCAGTACTGTCTTTGGCCACATAGTGTCGCTCTCACCATAACTTTCTTTTTTTATATGAAAGTCAAACTCAATATTATTGTTTTCCATAAATTTTGTGAATGTGTCACAGGGGAAGAATGACAAAACAAATTCTGATTGAGGTTCAGTTTCATTTATTTTTTCACGTCATCTATCTGACAATCGCCTTTAATGTGTTTCTTGATGGCTCAGTAAGGATCATGAAAGGGAAAATGAGGATGTTCTCCATCCCGCCACACTTTCTTACCATCCCTCTGTAGAGAGAAAAATTAATATATTCTCAGATTTTTTCTTAATACATCTGCTACTTCAGTTCTGCATGGAGAGTTGTAAACATGTCATTAAGGATCCATTTCTAGATTTCTACCAGTTATGTCTCACCTCCACTGTTGGGATAACAAAACGTGTGTTGCGGTTAAAGGAGTCAATACGTTTCATGTCTTCTGGAGACAAGGAAAAATCAAACACCCTTAAATTCTCCTGGATCCTGGAGGCCGTCACACTTTTGGGGATGCACACAACCCCCCTCTGGATGTTCCACCTGCAGAGTGAGATTGTAGTCACGTTGCCCACAGTGACATTAGAGGACAGTTAGTCGTGCAAAGTGATACTTTGAGGGGTCTGCCTTACCTGAGTATCACCTGAGCAGGAGATCTCTGGTACCTCTGAGCGATGGCGGCGAGTTGCGGATCTGCCAGCAAACTGGGCTCATCAGGAGAAGCCCAGGGTCTGTCTCCGCTGCCCAGAGGACTGTAGGCTGTCACACAAACCGCTAAAGACCTGGAACAGAAGTGAACATGATTTCCGCTGCTCTGAAAGCCCCTTATCTAAAGTGTACTTAACTGACCGACAGTGTGACAGGAGGTCTGCTTGAGACAGATAAGGGTGGCACTCCACCTGCAGAAAAAAAACAGGAGATGCAGTTCATTGAAATTGACATGAAAATATTAAGTTGTACAGAGCCGGTCTAAGATTTTATGGGGCAACAAACAAATTTTTGTTTTGGGAACCCGATTCCAAGTAAAACCAAAATAATCACTCATTAAAGTGATCAAGTGGTTGTGTTTTGAATTTGATGTGGTTTACCAGTAAGTCAACAGTAATACTATGTTACTGAAATGTTTTGCTTTGCTCTTGCATTCTTCACATCACTGGTATTTAATGATGTGCATGAGCTGAGAGCCCAGCCCAGACACAAATAGTTAAACTAATAAATGACCGAATTGTTGAATTGGAAATATTTCACATTAAGCATAAATAAGATTTTTTTTTATTATTATTTACTTTTTAAACAACCTCCAAAGTGATTTTAAATTTGAGTCATTCTTGAGAAAAGTGATGACAGAACCTGAATTTTTGAGATTTGCATAATAAGAAAAGTCAGGCTCTTTTCGCGGCTGCTAGGTAGCAGATTGGATCACTTTCTTTGGGTCTGCTCTGGATTTTCAATATGCATTATGTTCTGTTTGAACAGCTGTACCTGGTTCACCACAGGTTTGTGCCTGGCAATGGTGATGATGTCATCAATCTGCCTTGCATTGAAGTTGGACAGCCCAATAGCCTTAACCAGACCTTTATCTACAAGGCTCTCCATGGCCTTCCAAGTATCTCTGTAGTGAGTGTCAGAGTAACAAATACTCCCATCGTCTCGTTGAGGCATTAGCTCCTTCCCTCTCCTGAAACATCCACATTTTGTTTCAGCATAGAAATGAATGGGTTTCACTCTCGGGCACATAATACGCACTGGAGGAGGAAACAGTGTTTTGCAGAAAGAGCTGCTACTCACTTAAAGGCCATGGGCCAGTGCATGAGGTAGAGATCCAGGTAGGAGAGACCCAAGTGGGTCAGACTGGACCTGCAAGCCTCTTCAACATCCTCGGGATCATGTTTGGTGTTCCAGAGTTTGGAAGTCACAAACACATCGTCACGCGGCAGAGCCTGGGGTAAATAAAATGAAAATGTTCAGCATTTTATGTTTCTCATTTCAGAAAGTGAGACTCATATCACTTAGAATCATCACACAAAAGTAACTTGGAATATCCTATCTGAACCAAAGTGGGAAATCATGTTGAACAGTGGGAAGAAAATTGCCATGTTTGTTTTTAAGCTTTGTTAGAAACGTCTGATTCTAATTGATACTGAATAATCTCAGTTATTTATTTTGCTGTAAATCACAGTAGTTTTCTAGCAAGGAATTATTTAATTTTAATGTAAAAACCTCTTCTTTTTTTTCAAAACAGTGAAAGAACATTTTCAAAATTGTCTTGTCATCTATTGTAAGTTAATTTTTAGAACCAAGGGCCAAGCGGAGTTTAGGCAACCTTGTAGCCTGAGATGCAACGTCTTAAACTTGCTTCACACTGAGAAAAAGACGAACCCTCTTCTTCCCCTTAGAGAGGTGATTCAGTGAGTCATAGCAGTTGGATAAAGTGACATTAAACAAGGCCAATAAAATATTGATGAAGTACAAAAGGAAGAAGAAATCACAGCTCCTCACCTTCCCTGGACCCACCCGAAGAGCCAAAGCATCTCCAACCTCCCGTTCGTTGCCGTACACAGCCGCACAGTCAATATGTCTGTAGCCACCGTCCAAAGCTGCCAGCACCGCCTGCTTCACCTGGCAGTACATAGTAACACTTAAACAACATCCAGAGCATCCTTTGGATCTGTCTGTTAAATCTCTATGAATATGCATTGCTCTACCTGACCTGGAGCACTCTTCCATGTGCCGAGGCCAACCAGAGGCATCCTCTGCCCCGATGAGAGAGTCACAGAGGTGCTCATGTTTTAGTGCCGACAACCAAACGGAGGATCCTCTTAACTCCTGTGGAAGTGGGCACAGTGATTGTCCAGTCATGATGACTGTGTTAATATTCTATTAATGATTATCATCTGGATTCATTAACTCTGCCCTGGAGCATGTTTTAGTGGCTCTCACATAATATAGAAACTTATAACAGAGCAGATGCCATTTCTCATGCAGGCAAACTAAATATTTACTGACCTACTTACTGTTTCGCGCTCGCTCTAGGCTTAAAGTAGATCTTCTCAGAGGATTCATAAACCTTCTGTGAACCCAACCTTACCACTAGAAATAGCTGACACAGCTATATGCCATTAGTCACAGTGCAATGTGGCTGCAGCTGACCTCCAGGCTGAGTAATCATCAGCAACATCCTTACCTACCATGTGCTGCACACAATTTGTTCATTAACCACGATTCCAGTTTCACGTGATTTTTCTTCTTGCACAAATAAGCGAGCCTGACTGCCTCCTGACCTGGCTGCAGACCAGAGTGTAATTCACTCAGTTAATTAAAGTACTGACTTTTTCTGTTCCTACCTGAGATTGCTCCAAAATATTCTCGAAGGGTCCAATGGGGCTCTTGTGTTCGACTGAATTTTGCCAAGTTGAGGTCAAAGTGTGTGTTTACCTATCAGTGGTGAAAAATGTCCAAACTCCACCGTGTGCTAGGAGACACCAGAGACACACAGAGTGAATTAAAAAGCTGCCTTAACGTTGTTTGTTGTATTGACAGCAGATCAACATATCTGTATGTTTATTTGTGCTGGAAATATTCAGTATAGAAATTTTCCTTCCTGTGAGGAGTGACAAAAAAATTTCCTTTTTTTGTGTCACAGGTCAAAATTTTAGATAGACTAATTGCATGGATACCATTTTTTGCTCAGTTTCCCCCTTACTGATAAATCATGAACTCTGACCTTTAATAGTCTGCAGTGCTTTTAGATGTTCTGAGTTTGTTGGGTTAGTTATTGATGTACAGTTGGGGTAATTTTGGCAGCCTTGCCCCTCCATGAAGTTTTGATTCTGATTAGAAGAAAACATCCGACCCTGTTTATTGAGCCTTGTCAAAACTTTCCAATATTACACTGTCAGGCTGACACTGAATCATCCAATTCAGTGTTAGCCTGAACTAGAATAAAACAATGGCACAAGCTTAATTTCACACATTTGGTTTATTTAAAAGTTAATAAATAAGTATTGTCAAATGCAGACAAGCAGTGACGGCGAGTCTTTCAGCAGCAGTGCATGTACTCTCTTGTTGCAGCCACACTTGAGTGTCCTCTGAGGGTTTAAGAGGCAGTACAAACAATCGCACAATCAGACATTCACGTCTCTCCCATCCTCGAATTGTTTCCACAATATTTTTACAATATAAAAGTGCATTTTTAATGCATTTAAACATCCCAGGAAGAAAACATTTTTTAAATATGTATATATGTAAGACCAACATCCTGCATAACTCATGCTCATATAAACATCTCTGTGTCTTTACATCACTGATGTAAAATACAAAATGATGAGGAGCTCAACGGGTTTCAGCGCCCCCTGCTGTTGAGAAAAAGGTAATCTGCTCCAAGGCCAGGTTCCTAAACAGGATGTCCTACTAGCTGTACACATATAAAACACAGAAGCCTTATCAAATCACAAAGCTGTGTGGTTTATTGGTGGCACTGCTCACTTTAGCACCAAGACATGGCCCTCAAAAGCCACAAGAGAACAAAGATATAATACACAACAAAGCAGGGGGCTGTCAGAGTAACCGCTATTTAGTCCCTCGGGGAAAATCCCACCTCTACTTGTTTGGCACTTTGCTTTAAATTACTTACAAAAATCCTCAGTCTCGTATCAAATTGCTCCCTAAAAACATTTTGGCTCACTTACAGTACTTTATAAACTTTACATTGCTTACTTACAGTTTTTCCACCTCCAGATGGTAAAGTCTAACACAGCATAGGGCATCATCTGTTGTGGACTCATGGCTTTTTGTATTTATTACAGTGTGGCCTGTGTTATTGGTGTGACACTGGGCTAAGGCACCTTTATGTCCCTTAGAAAGTGAGCCAGCTAATCGGTGGTGAGCAGCTCAGCATGAAGGAAAGCACCCTTTGTTGCAAGCAGATTGTTATCAAAGCTCCCGCTGCAGTTGCAGGTTGTGATTGTCTTTTTAATTCAACCAAGATGGGCTAATGTCAACGAGGCATGGGCTGGTACGTAATCCTCATGGTATGACAAATGTGAGCCAAATGGTAATTACCAGAAAAGCTTAAGCCCAAAATGCATGACGTAATCTAATAGTTTTGACTTGAATCAGAAAAAACAAACAAACAACAAAAAAAAACGTTAGCCCCATTGCATCTGAAATGCCATTACATAATGATGATTATAGGAAAAGTTATTTATTTCATTTATTTATTGGTAAATTGGTCGTCTTACATAAAATTAAACAAAATGTAGAATAAATATCTGACAAGTGTTGTAGTTTCTTTAAGTAACTGTGCTTATTTTGAAAAATAGCGCCCTTTGTTTTTCTGCTTCTTAAACAGGAGTTGATGGTTTATCTGCATGAGATGTTTTGGGATAATTTCTCTGAGCTGGAAATTTTTCACAAGCTGGTTGCACAGCCATGACAAAAACAAGTGACATGCAGGCTAAAGGTAACATATTTTTCCTAAAAGGAGAAAGAACTATAGTTGCTCTCATGCTGATTCATATTGAAAAGTGAATTATGTGAATATAAACATGATGAAATGAAGGGTATTTGTGTAAAAATGATTTCCCATTCTGGGTATTGCGTGTGTTTTGGGATCAACGATGTGGAATCACAGTGTTCTGAGTATGTTATAATGTCACCATCTATTCTTATATTTAAGCATTAACAGACTATGTTGGAATAAAATGTGATGGTCAGAAAATATTTAACAAAATTACTCGGAAAGTAGGTCCTGTAATGAGTTTCTCTTTCATTTTCAAGCATCCAGCATGCTGACATGAATGAAGCATCTGTTCAGCTTACGGTGTGATATAAAGTGATGTTGTTATGGCTGCTATCTGAGTTGCTGTTCTCTTCAATTCTGTAGAAAAACAGACTATGTTGGAATAAAAACAGGAAAAAAGTCCAGTTGGACCAAAAACAACTGTGAGTCATCAAGAGCCAAAGTACTAAAACTTATAGACGAATCCCTGATTCAACGCACCTGAATCAAATGAATGTCTCATTATTAGGCCTCTGGAACTTGATGATATGCAGAAGAGATCATTCAGTTATTTGATCCAGGAGTGTTGGAGAAGGGGGCTCCTGCTCTAGATGTCACAATCCTGATTCCACTGCTGATTCTTTGGGCAAGCAGTTGATTGCGACATGCTGACGTTTACCAGATGCAGTTTTAAAACAGTCTAAGAGCTTAATAGCAATAATAAATGTCGCCCTTTGAGTTTTCATATAATGACATTCTGTGTTTTCTTTTAAACAATGTAAAACGGTAGTCGCATACCTTCAAGCAGCTGACTGGCAGTGCGCAGCAACAAACGAGGGAACAGCAACTCTGTTTTATTCTGTGCTTCAAACAGCAAGAAAAAGTTGCTCTTAATGCCAGTATTTTCTCATATACCTCTATAGAATGACATTAAACAGTAGAATCAGAATGAAGGAAAGGTTTGGGGGTTTTGAAACATTTTAACATTTTAAAACCTTGGAATACCTTGAGACCAGAAACCGGCCCATGCCAAGTCTAAACTGCAGTGCAATGTGGAACTTCATGTGAAATTTTTCCCTAGCAGGTGTCTATTAGTTTGAGGAAGGTCGACCACACTAACAAGTCTACAGATTTAAAATCTGTTTCTTGAGCCTGGAGTCCAAGTCAAGGTGGAGTTATGTTAAAACTAGACTATGTACTGAAAACACCCAAGCTGCTGGTACACTTGAGGTAAGAATAACAAAAAAATAATAATAATAAAATCCTGATTAAACATTTCTTTTAAAAAATATCTCAAACTTCATCCTTTTCACAAAAAGACAAGGATTGGAGAGGAGGAGAGCTTATAAAACCATTGATAAATTTGTAAAAAAAACAGTTCAGAAAAGAAGTTTGGATAGAAGCCACAGTTGTGCACAGCCCAGCCTCAGCACCGCTTCACTGTCTGGGGACTCGTGTGTGTGTGTGTGTGTGTGTGCGTGCGTGTGTGTGTGTGTGTGTGGTTGGACCAAAAGACAGCACATACAAAGCTAAATTAAATCCTGATCCTGTCAGTCTTTGTCTGTCCTTCTAAGATGTTGAGTGCATCAACACAGGACATTAAAACCGTAACAACCATATATGGGAGGAGTAGATGAGGTTGTATGATGGGTAGTTTTATTTGCCGGTGGAGGGCTCAGAGGGGTCCTCCTACGACTGGGGGAGGTGCTGTCTGATAATCTCTCGGGACTGTGGGGGGATCCTGTCAGGAAAACGGACGGAAAACTCCACAATGAGGTCACCGCGCTGCGAAGGGTTCTTGGGGAAAGGCAAACCTTCCCCCCTGACCCGCTTCAACGTTCCTGGCTTGATGATGTCGTGGCAAGGCAGCGAGATGACGCGGTTTTCCAGCGTGGGAATACTGACAGTGCAGCCACACAGCGCCTGGAAAAGAGAGAGGAAACACAGAGGTTTAAAGTCTATAGAAAGAAATGAATTCCAGAGCCATGAATATCCTGATGACCTAATGTTTCCATGAGGTAAAACTGGAGTTTATCTCTCCCCTCCCCCAAAACACAACATCATGCTGTTGTGTTTTCTGTGCTGTGTGTGTGGAAAACAGAGAGTGTTCCTCTTTAAAGATCACTTAGCTTGGACTACAGCGCTGCCGGGTCTGGAGAACCGCCTCTGGAAAAGAACATTAGGAACTTGGCATCGGAAAAGTTTTCAGGTCTTTGTGTGTTGTGTGAGTGCACAAGTGTGTCAGCATTGCACTGGGGACTAATTTTAGCAGCACCCTCATATCTTGGACTAATGAAGTGAGGCAGGAATCGGCTGAGCTTGTGAATAGTTGGAGGGCTTGTCAGATCCACACAGTCATGGCTGGCGGCGCGCACCCCCCCCCACACACACACACACACACACGCACACACACACACACACACACACACACACACACACACACACACACACACACACACACACACACACATAAGCATAACCTCCTTATCACAATGCACCATGAATCCAGAGACATGTGGGTTTTAACTACTTCACAGGCTTTGTGGTGGGCATCTTTCAGGATATTAAGGCTGAACAGAAAACAACTATTTTTAACTGTGTGACTGAATATCTGAATGAACAACAGACTTTATTTGACACTTAGAAGCAAGTGCTACAAAGAAAAGCAGTAAAATAAAAAAGTCAGGTGTGAAGAGACACAGATGGAGATGAGCACACAGCTACAAATCCGAAAGGTTCGGGTCAGAGGAGTAAGAGTAAATAAACAAAATAGTAACTTTGAAATGTATATGTAAGTGAAACTTGTGTTTATATTCAAATATAGAATAATATATTTCAAGTAGGTTACAGGTAATGACAATTCAGAGTTCAATTGATCAGAAAATTTGAGTAAGATCAAAAAACATCATATTTAGCAAAGAAATGTTATGTTGTGACCTGCACAATCATAGGGAATGTTTAATAGTCGTTCAGCAGGAAGATATGAGCCATGAAAGTTCGCTGATAAGTAATCAGCTGGTTCACAGATAGTCTACAAACTTTAAAATAAACAATTTCATAGTTAGGGCAACGCCCACAAAGCTGAGTGAACAACAAAAAGACGTTTTCTACAGGATGGTGTCCTTCACTGCGGCCGTGAGGGGACATGAGGGCCAAAGTGGATGCCGTCTGATTGGTCAAAGCGATGGACCTCAGACGGTCGGCGACATCAGAGCTGAAGCTGCACTTCGACAAAACGAGCAGAAGGAAAACCTTTCGTCTGTAATCATAGTTACTGTTGTTTTTGAGAATGCATGTGTCCCTGGTTAAAATCCTGAAGCAAATCCATAATGCCAAACATTAAAGAAAATACACAAAGTTCCAAGTACTATTAAGTTCCACTCCGCCAGCTTTTCATAACGTAATTGTGTCTTTGCACAGGCTTAACCTCACAGCACATCTATGTCTGTACTTGCTAAATGTTCTGGTAGGAGCGTTGCTGGGTCTTCTTGTTCTGTCTAATAGAAAGTAAATATGGACCATTGACTTTTGGGTCAAGCAGAGCAGCTGTCTCAGGGCACAGACGGTGTTTTTCCAGCCATGACATCAGCGTCCCGTCATCCATTACATACGTTGCCCTTTGACCTGGCCTTTTGGCTGCCTTAGAGACTCATCCTCCAGTTCTGAACACTTTCATTCACTAATGCAAATCTTACACACAGATACAGGTTGCCATAACACTGAGAGCACACTGCCATCTGATCATTGATTGCATAAGGCTCTGCTCAGACAACAGCACCACAGACTGGCACATACAGACAAGCACTGACACTTTTTTATGGAGAGTAAACTGTCAAGATTTTCTCAGAGCCAAACGTCCATCGTGCTTAAACCTAAAAATTCTGTTTTGTGTTTTGTTGCAACTGATAAATATCCTCTTCACCAAAAGGGTCCTCTGAACGATGTGGACTGACGTCGATGATGATTTACATAGGAAATTGAAGGAGGTGCAAATGTGTGCTGAGAACAGAACATGCCAAATGTATCTGGTCAGAATAACTGCAGAGTAGTAAATGACAGCAAAATATCATTCAGTTAAACTGATTCGGTAGTTTAATTTTATACAATGCTTTACTTTTACGGCAGGCATTCGTTCTACTTTACACGTTTTGTTCTCTACTTGTTTTGAACAATAAAAACAGTATGTCACGAAAACGTTGAAGAGGTAATTAATGCATTCTAAGGTAGCTCTCAGAAGCAGGAATGGATAATTATTATATATGACTGGATGAAGAAATATTATTGATAATGATTTATATTGCAACTTTTTTTAATTGTAGATGGTTATCAAAACAGACAGTCGGTTGAGATTTATACTTTAACTGATTTTCCACTACAGGCTTCATGAAATCATTAATGAGCATCAATATATTTGAAGAAGATTTAATGCATTCATTTATTTTTTGTCTAGCAATACATTACTGCTTGATGTAAATGAAGTAGTGAAGGAGCTTGTTGGACGAAGGCTGTCGTTTTTCTATTTTTAGAGTAATATTTGTGTTTTTGTAACCCAGGCTATGCGCAGTGACAGATGTATTAAAAGTACTTCTTGTTACCACATTTTCTTTCATTTCAGTAAGTAAAATGTCATGGAAACATTTTAAATCCATGACTGCAAACAACATCACTAAACCATACAGAGCAGCCTTGAAACATGACGTCAGTTCAAGCTTTCTGTGGACTGAGGGGGAGATGTTCTGACGCAGAATGGAGCACTGAAATACGCTACAAAGGATCCCATTTTGTACATTTGACATGCGTTTTTTCAGGGAGGTAATTTCTTGGCTCGATACTGTCACAGGAGCAGAAAAGTGGCTCTACTGCATGACGACTAAAGAGACTTGAAAAAGGTTTGCCAAACTATAAAGAAAAGAGAAGCCGGCGTTAAACTGAAAACTCTGTTTTTTGCATAAGGATGGAATAAAAACTTTTAGTACATTATTTATGCTGTGTAATCAGTTTTTGCCCACACCTTGTAATTTGGCTCTGCATCAACTTGTGATATTTTCTTGCAAGAGCATTTACAATATTTTCACAATTTTTTAACAAACCCAAGATATTTCTTTCTCTTTGAGAAAAAATAAGTTGTTTAATATAGATTGATTCAGAAATATCAATGACATACAGCATCATATTCATCATTTGCATAAATTGCTTTGTCTATTTTTGACACTAGAGTTGCTTAAAGATGGTTCCTGTGGAACAAGCTGTTACCTTCAGCCATTGAGTCCAACTAATCTGGATTTACACTAATGGAAATGCTATGAGAGATCTCTACTGCAGGTAAGAATCTAACAAAATATCAGTTCAAAAATCCAAAACTGTCTATTCAAGCACAAAATCTACTAGAAAAGATTCATCATCCGCTTCAGCGACTATTAAGTTGACGGAAGACAGACGTCCCATTTTGAATGGAGCGCACTGATCCATTATCATCGCTACACTCTGGCCTCCTGTGGGTTTGGAAAGAATTTGCTTCTAGATAAATCAGAGTGTCAGATTTGAGCTACATCTCCTGTTGCTTGTGACTTTTGGAGATGCTGCAGGGATGAACGTCTCCCATGAGTGTCACAGCATGGAAAAGCAGAACTGGCAGCACTAAACTGAGCTGCTTAGTGAGGGATCCTTCTGGCAGAAAACAAAACTGAGCAACCTCATAGCTAGTGAAGAATCCAGCTGTCATAATATGACATAATATTTAATACTCAAACCTTGAACATCAACACATCCAAACGGTTCTGTTTTGCTCCTTAGAAACAACAAGCTGGCTTTTATTTATGGCAGCAATTATTCCTGTGACGGGACTTGTTTTATGTGTTGCATGACATATTTCACACTTTGATAGACTGGAGTGTGCGCAGCCCGCATTTGAAGCCGGGTTTTTCACTGCAGCATTCCTCGGCATTTTTGAAGAAAGCAGAGCAGAAGGAGGAGAGATATATGAGCTCATTTTTGCTTAGGAAACTAAATCATCTGACCCACTTCCCTAAAACTCCCAGGATGCAGCCCCCACCCCAGACACATTTCCCCTACTCTGCCTCATCTCATGTTTAACTCCACCAGACCTAAGTCTCTTATCTGGCTGTGGAAAGATGAGAAGGTTTTAGCTGTGGGAGTTGCAAAGTGCAAACTTAATCGCTTGCAGGTTTGATTAAACAACATCTCCAGCTTTAAATATGACTCAATAAACTCCTTTGCGCTCTAGTCTGTGCAGAGTTGCTGTGTGAGGCCATTGCTCCATTGACTAGCTGGTTATTTGGAAAAGCTCACAGAAAAAACCCCATAAAAATGGGCTTAAGCTGAGAACAAAGAACTGCACTGACATCCCTGGTGCTCTCAGCGAACCAACCATCAGGTTGACTGTCAGGACGTGGGAACCTTGATGGAAACACTGAAGCAACGGAGCACCCAGTGACCTCCACACTCTTGGAGCGGCCAATTAAATATCCTGCCAGTTGCAATAACAGAAGCTGGGATTGTCACCACTGTAACACTACAATCCATCTTTATCTGAATGTGTTTGCAGGAGGTGGATGCTTGTGTGCTTGTCTTCGGTGTTTATGAATATGATTTCATGCTGATGCACATAACGAATGAGGATGGCGGTTCTATGCCTGTCACACCAGGACACCACATTCCTGCTTCCTCTCTCGCATGTGGGTGGCAGAGACTCTGCTCCGACTGATCCTGTCCTCCAGCAATGACCACATGCAATGAACACATCTAGGACTGAGGAGCAGAATAAAGTGCATTGGAGGAATATTCACAAACCTTCAGCACGTTTACATTTTCTCACATAGCAAATATGAAGTGTTTTATGTGATAGACCAGGAGTTTGCAACCTAAAGAGCCATTTTGCTCTCAGATTAGCCAAATAAAACTTTAGAGCATTAAAATGTCGCATGACTTTTTGAAAAAAGACAACTTTTTAGACAAATATGTACATATTGTCATTTTTAAAGAAGCGTTTCATTTCAATTTGTAGGCTCTGAAATAAAGATAAACTTAAAAGTGGATGAATTATTATTATTATTATTATTTTAAAGCACATAGATTTAAACCTACAGACAAGAAAAAAAGTTTTAAAAACATATTACTTGTACTTTGTGGGAATCCAGTCCAAAAACTGTGTTGCCAAATTGTGTTGTTGAAGATGATGCATGCAGAAAAGATTTAGAAAGTCGCTATTTGAGGCATTTCTGTTCCAAAGCTTCCCAGCCATGTGACTGCAGTGAGTGTTTGCCTGACTGGATCCACCAGGTATCAAAATCCCTCTAAAGAATTAGCAACTAATCTGCAGGTAGAGCTACAACGTGAGAAGATAAACAGAGATGAAATAAGTTGGACGTACCTCTTTTAGGGTAATCTTGTAGTTATAAATGATATTGGAACCGTCTCTTTTGAAGTGGGCATGCCCCTTGTCTTTAAGCACAAACACTATATCGGCAGGAATATTCTCTGGGGTCTCGTCCCCTTCCTTTGGGAAAGTAATCTTGGTCCCCTCCTTCCAGCCCTTCTTGATGACAATGTTGAGGATCTTGTCCTCCGTTCTCATGCTCCTCCCGTCTGGATTTAGCCTGCGCCGAGTGATCTTCATTCGTTTGGTGCAGCCGTGGAAGATCTCCTCCAGTGAGACCTTCAGCTCGTGGACCACCGGCGCGTCCTGGTGCTTCCGGTTGGTCCCCAGGCGCTCTGACGGGGTTGGCCCCCTCCTCCTGCGACCCTCGCCTGGAAAGCCATTGTTCATTCCTCCAGGAAAGCCAAACTGTCTCTCAAAATGAGCAAAGGGGTCATCCTCATCCATTTCTGTGTCCTGCTCTGCGCCGTTGCTGTGCTCGTTGTGGAAGGGGAAACCGTTGGAGCGGCTGTGGCTGCGGCTGGAGCCAAAGAACATGTCGAAAGGGTTGGAGCCCCCGAAGAAAGAGGCAAAGGTGGCGTGGGGGTCTCCATGGAAAGTGTAGTGGTGCGTCGAGCTGCCAGGAGCGCCAGAAGAGCTGCTGCCTCCTGTCTTCAAACCTGCAACAGACCAGAGGGCTAAGAAATGGTTGACTGTACAAACACACACTACGAACCCCGTGTATCTGTGACCATCTTCTAACACACACATGGCTCTGACCCCAGCATCAAACACCCTGGAACAGTATCATATTTCTATTACCATCTCCAGGAGTGGATAAGTATGAAAAAAATAAAGTGAAATTTAGAATGAACAAATGTTTGATTTTCTGACTTATCTTGTCTTTAGTTTTCTAAAGGCTTATTTCTTTTACATGTTTTATCTTTAATTTTAATAATCAAATGTTGATTTCATTTCACCCATGAGTATTTTGGTATTTGACATATAGACTGAATGCAGATGCATTACATTTTTTTAGAAAAAGTCTCTTCATCACTTTTTGGACTTTAGGTACCTTTAAATTCATGTTCACCTAACCTGGGCCTTTACCCTTTTATGAGCTGAATTATAAAAGTAATTAATTTGATTTCATGAATGAAAAAGGAGTAGAAACATTCCCTCACTGCACATTTTAAGTCAGTGTCAACTTTCAGCATTAATATATTGTTGACTGTGCAATAAAAGTTTAGAAGTTAGTAGAGAAGCCAAAAACAGGAGTGAGTTTCAGAGATGTGTTGTTTTGAAATTTGTGGTACCTACAGATAAGTAAATATTTTGTACTAAAATGTCCAAATCTATATTAAAACTTCAGACATAAAAAATGTAGAAAAATGACCTGAAAACGTGTAAATTTTAAATAAAAAAAAGTTTTGGACGTCTGTACAAAATCAGATACCAGACAGAGGATCTCTCTCAAAAAGCTGAGAGATTGTGGGCGGGAAAAAAATCCCACAGCATCACCGATCTTCCGGCAGTGACTGAAATACGAGGTCACTGCAAGCAACAAACTCACACAAATACACACGTGTGCACAAAACGCCCACAAATGCAACCTGCAGCAGTTGCCGCTATTCATATCGCAGCAGCATCATGATCTCGGGGCCATCTGTCTGTCAGGAAACTCACACACACATTCATACCCAGATCACAAAACAGCAGCTGAGGAGGACTATGAGTTATTGGACCTGGTGAAGGTTGTTGACACTATAATAACCAACAATCACACATAAAATACAAAAACATGAAGGAGATAACATTATTACTTGAATGACTAAGGCATATTTGTGTGATACTAGACCTGAGTTATCTCAGTAGAAATGCCTGCTGGCTTCTTGCTCTCCAAAAGTTTTCACAGCACCCGTTTTCTCCTCACCTTCCTCTCCCAGCTGGTCATAAATGACCCTCTTCTTGGGGTCACTGAGAACCTCATAGGCCTCTGCAATTTCCTTGAATTTCTCCTCCGCGTTTGGATCTGTGTTCTTGTCCGGATGGAAGCGCAGCGCCATCCGTCGGTAGGCCTTCTTGATCTCATCCTCGTTGGAACTTTTGGGGATCCCGAGGGTCTTGTAGTAGTCCTTCCCCATACCTGCGCCTCTCTTCAGCTCAGACTGTGCTGTATTGTGTGTGAGACACAAGGACACAATAAGAGTCTCATAACAATCCTCAGAGACCGATGCTGCTGAGAATGACACGCTAGATCCATCTCAGTGGCTTAGAATTATGTTAAAAAGTTCATTTATTCAGCTTAAAAAGTTTGACACACATGAATCTATTATGGTTTACAGCAAATGAAAACCCACAATTCAGTTTCTGGCATTATTATAACATAACATTGGACCAATAAAAGGTCAATGGTGGGATAAAGTGTGGTAGAAAAAGATGCAGAAATGAACAGCCACATCATTTAGACAATTACAAGGCAAAGCATATTTAAGGGTTTGGAGGAGATTTACAATGTGAGGAATGCAGCTGGAGTTAGAATCTCAAGGGCCGTCACGCCCTTTGTATGCAAGATCGAGAGTGTTGCACACAAAATGTCACATTCCTTGTGTTAAAACTTCTAACTGGACAAAGTCGACTGTTGCTTCTTGGTTCAAAGTCCTATTTAAAGAAAATTCTGCATTTGAGCGCATAAACACAAATGGAGAGTTTGTATCTACATACAGACTCTAGATTGACTCAATCAAGATCACGGAGTCCAGATACGGAGTGGAGAGACAAGGTTGCTGTTCACACAACCCGGGCTTCCTGAACAACCACAGAACCACAAGCTGATCATCTTCAAGCCACTCTGCACCGATGCAGTAATTCATGCAAAATGAGTTCTGGTCATGAATTCACAGCAAAAAAATTTAAATAGGCCACATTTCTGTATAAAACGTACTTTTTTGAGGGGGTTAATTGCAATTTTACAGTTTTCTAAGTAGCCAAGTTTTTAATTAATAAGCTCTGAACCAATATCTATAAAGATTAGTGTGGTGTTAAACTGTGGTGTTGCAACAAGGTGGAGATGGCGAGTGGCTTTTAAATTTGAATATAAAATGAAGAACAACAACAACAACAAAAAAATCACAAGGAATGCAAGGAGCCATATTAAAACAAAATAAATCCCAAAAAAATCACGGCACAAGCCAGCCAGGCGAACGGGGACGAAATTAAATTTAACAGGAGGAACCATCAAGGAGTGGCTGAGAATGGGATTTATGTATACTGGGGATATTGATTACTGAACAATGAATAAATGGATGATCAGAATGGGCTGACGGTGTGAGGGGAGAGAAAGAGAGAAAATGGCACACGGGTCAAAACTGGATTAACTTAGTAAAAATGAATCTAATAACAAACAAATAACCAGACATTAGGAACATAGTAAAACTGGAGTAACAAAGAAAGGGCTGAAGCAAATGAAAACAGAAACACAGCTGATCTAAACAAAGAATTGAAACTGAGGAACAAATAATAAACAAACACAAAAACAACTCAAACAACCCAAGACCCTGGGAATATAATCAAAACTGACAGAAATAAATACTTTAAATGCAAGTATAAACAATCTATGCAGTGTTTCAGTTTACCTTTCTGGCCTAAATTATTGAAATACAGATTTTTGTCAATTATATTCAAAACTATAGAGAACCACTTTATGACCTGGCCAAACAGGCCTTCTTTACGTCTGCTTATGGCCCCCTGCTGGCCTGGAGGACTTGCACCAAATCTTGAAATTACACATGGTAGATTTATGAAAGAATCGGTTGGAAAAATCCCAAGAGTTTTAAATTTGTAGCAACACTGAAGTTTTAATTCCTGCAGAGTTACATACACAGATCAGAAGGCAAGTTGCAGTTAAGTGCCTCACCTAGCAGCACACCAACATGTGGCACAAGGAAGCTGGAATCAAACCCACAACTGTCACCACAGTCGCTACGTTACTTATTGAGCTGCTGAGCAACAAGAACCAGCATTATTTGAGTGGTTGCTTATGGAACACTTTATATCATTACAAAAAGACATGTGTGGTTCTTCAAAATAATAGCCCCGCGTGTTTGTTTCATGTGGTGCTGATTAATTTCTGACTCATTCCTTCTGTTATCTTTAAACTTAAACGCCTATTTATAATTGGATTCGGGTGAATATTACACCCAGTTAACACAGAGCAGTTCATTGCATTTTCTTATTAAAGTAAAAAAAAAACCCATAAGTATTGAAGTGTTCATTTAAGCATAACAATAATGTGTTATGGTTTCATACAACAATGCAGTGATATCTGCTACAGTGTAACCTTTACTTTTAGTTACACCAAAGACTTGATTTGGTGCAGTTAATTTGAAAATATTAAACTCACCCTTGTTTTATTCTCCTAAATCTGTAAAAAGAAAAGAAAAAAATGTACTGGTGATGGGTTTTGCTGGAACCTCAGACAACCTCAGGCCGGCCCTGGATCTGCCATGCTCCCTCCAGACATCTCACTTGCTGGAGACTTAGTGAGATCTATTAAGTGATATGAAGGGAACAGAGAGTGCTGGTTTCATCAGCTGTTGCCATGGCGATACGGTGATGATGTAGTCTGAGATGGAGAGCAGAGGAATCCCCTTCATCTTACTGTAACCAGAAGGGCTTCTCCACATCAACTCTGCCGGGCAGCTCCAGAATAATTCCCCCCTCAATCACCTCTTCTGGAATCGCAGGAGATTTTGTGTGAGGAACAGAAGGAAGCAGCCCACTGCAGCCCACGGTGGTACACTGCCTGAATCTATTGTGTTCAAGCATCCTGATGGGCAGGAGAGACCCCCCTCACTGCAGAGCCTCTCAACAGGGCACGGCGGTCTCCAGAGAGCAAAATGAGGAGGATTTTTAAATCCTTTTTTTTTTTTTTTTTTTTGCTTGTTCCCTCTACTTAAAGAAACAGTTCCAATTTGCGATGGGATGCCAAAAATAAAGCTCAATACTTCCGACACATACATGCTCCCATGCAGGCCCGCAGAGCGAGCAAAACAAGCGAAGACAAGAAGACAAAGCCCTACCAGAATGGCCCCTGTCAGCGGAGAATCAGATCAGCATGGTCCGGCTCCCCTTCAGCCTGTTTCTGCGCTCCTTTCTCCCCTTTCAGCCCCGCTGTCTGCCCAGCCGCTCCGGTTCCGTCGCCTCCTTATAATAACCTGACGTCAGGACGCAGCAGCGACCGGCGGGGATCACAGGCTCTGAAATAAACCAGTGACCAAACGCTGAGGTCCGCCCGCCCGCTCGCCTCACGTCTCTGTAGAAGAAAAAAAAAACAACCTCCGAGCCAAATCTGTACCGGTGCCGTGTTGATGGGGAAGCAGGAGCAGACTGGTTCCAAGAATCAGGGAGAGAAACGTGTCCAAATCGGTGCGTCTAGTTATCGATTTAACGGCGTCAATAACTGAACTCTGATGGTTGTCTGGGAAAAATCGACCCCCTTCTTAAACTTTGAGATCCTTTCAAAGTAAAAGCTGCATTTTAAAACGTCCTTATCGAGCCCACTGCTGCGGTGTTCGTCCCTGGACTTGTGCCTGAAATATGGAGCCAGACCAGACCCAGCCCCCTCAGCCGGCCTGCAGGAGGCCCCCGCTCCCCCGGGGGTTCTTGAACAACAACTAAAAATAAAAGTTTCAAAAACAATGTATGGTTCTTTCTTTATTTCTTTTCCCTCTCATTAGATCGGGGAGATGATTGCTGTCCACAAACGAGGTAGAGTCCCGTTTGGATGCTGATCTTTAAAAAAAATAAAAATAAAATGTGGGTGTGCGTATCCGTGCGCGCGGCGCTACAGTCGTGCCTCGTGCCTGGTCTGAGTCATGAGATGACTCCACTCACACCCGCATCTTTACCTCCTATCTCTATAAAGACTGCAACCATCAAATCACAGCGTGGAGGTTTTAACTGAACCAGACATCTCTCTCTGTTTCACTTGCCTTCTATGCATTTAATCTATGGCTTTATTTCCCAGCACTGACTTCAAAATCAGAACCAGACACATTTTCTTACAGGACTTTGACTAAGCTCTCCAGGACACAGGAGCTGAAACATTTATAAAACACTGCATATGCATTTTGAGATGGAACTCTCAACATTATTGCACATTTGTGCCACCCCTGGATGCAATGGTGCCCTGGGTGTTGAGCCATCCCACCCATATCATACTACTGTCACCAGGTGTTATAGTTACACATTTGTAATGTGAAAGTTGTGTTAAAGTCCTCGTTTAGTTATTTTAGCAATTTATGCTTTTTGTTTTTGTCAGACTGGAGCATCTTTACTCCTACTACTGTTTCTTTGACAAGTGACCGATTTTATCACCAAGGGACAAGTTGCCCTGTCAGTCTAGTCATTATTCACCCACTAATTAACTGCAAAACATTGTGAGTTTAAAAGAAAATGTGAAAATGATCATGTACAGCACACGAAGTGGATCTGTGGCACCACCGCTGAAGCTGCCGCTGGACGTTGCTGTGGGTGGACACCAAAAAGATTTCTGCTAACAACCAACCAGGAATGCACTACACAGGCGCAACACTAAAACCTTACCCCCCACTTAAAATCTAAGTTTAGACAGCTCTGTTGAAATAACCAAGCCTTGACCCTTAGGATAGACGCTTCAAAAAAGACGCTTGAGTGGGACTCTTTAATAAATACACAGTTAAATATATAGTTAATTCAACATGCAGGGAAACCATTAAAAAGTACTTTTAAAAAAGTAGCTTAAGGGCTGATTGCAAAGTTTAAAAAGTGACACTTCTTTTTTCAACAATTTGTATGTCTTCACTGTATAAATTGCTGTGCTTTCTCTATGACTCTATTTCACAAAATAGTTTTCTACACAAAACATTAAACAAATGGTTACAAACACCACATATACATCCTGGTAAAGATGAGCAAAATTCCACAAAACAAATTCAGTTTGAGTGCATTTATTTAGTTAAACGACACAGAAATGGTTTGTCCGACTCAAAATCTGTTATTTTCCACGACTGTGCATTATCCAAGTTCCCACACGGAGATCCAGCAGAAAACCTCAGTGGTGAGTTGAAGAGAGGGAAGCATATGAGAGGAACCAGAAGTCCAGAAAATCCAGAAATTTAGCCAAAATAATGACCCAACATCCTTCTTTCTTGATGATACAGAGTTACATATCAACGTGAGCTGCAACATACAAACGATGCATTTTATTAAGTGGGCTAATATTTGTACTGTGATGATTTTGTCAAAAACAAAGAACATTTTTAACATGGGAATTTAATTGATATTTCAGAACGGTTAGAAAAGACGCACTTTGTTTTATGGAGAAAACGAGCAGCACAGTAAATCATGGACAAAAATTTACGATGCATGAGAAACAGAGCCATATGGAAACATCCCGCAATGCATCACATAACACTAAATATCATCTTTGGATAAATCTGAACTATTTCTACTAGTTTTCTTCAACATATTTCTGTAAACTAACCACTGGAAAACAAACTTGATGCATGCTCCAAACCTGCTGACCTACAGAAGCCAACCTGTTGGCCCGGTGGCGGTCCGAAGTGTTGGACTGCCATCAGCTCCGACTTAGTCTGGGACTAATTTTAGCTGAATTTGACACCTTGCTTTTATACTGAGCTTCTGACTCATCAGACCCATTATATAGAAATGAGTCAACACAGGCTTTCTGAGCAAAATGTTCCCTCATCAGAGGATTTTCTTGCTTGTTTACAATCGAGAGGATTTACTGCTTGCAACAAAGTGAAACGATAAACATCTTGCGGGCGAAATATTGAAACTATTTCCCTTTGTCTTCATCAGTATCCTCAGCAGGGTCGTCCCAAGGCATAAGCAAACTAAGCAGGAGTTTAGGGACCCAAGGCCACTAAGGGGCCCCTCAGTTGAGCTGAGATTAGCTTCACATGTAAGTATTGGCTGATCACAATCCCCCAAAATTAAGGAAATCAGGTCCCAGAAATCAACTAGTCGATAAATCAGTTGGCCAATGAATGTATCCTATATTATACATGTATATAATATAAACAGCACGGTCAGAGATGCAATAAGTTTGTAGCAGGTTTGTGAATGATCTGATGACCAGGCTGTTGATTGCAGTCGGTCACATTGTTAGCAGAACTAGAGGGCCCCAAAACCACATTTCACTTAGGGCCCCATGGAGGCTTGGGCCGGCCCTGGCTCTCAGTCCTGATATAAATAACAACCAGTCTGTCCTGTTCTCAGACAAATCATATTAGAGCAGCAGTGCTGAAGGTCTGAGTCATTATTGATGACTTTTATCGTTAAGTGCCCATAAAGGTACGCTCAGCAGGACACGTCTGCTCTGATTGGTCGATGCCAGAGGAAGAGCTGGAGAGAGAAATAAAAACAAATTTAAGTTTGAGTCACCGGTGAGGCGAGGAGGTGTGAGAAAGGTGGGCATCTGAATGGAGGAGTCTGTCTGACACGCAGATATGCTGTGAATAACACACGCACACACACACACACACACACACACACACACACACACTTAACATTCAAAACAATGTGAGCATGGAGAGAAGCTGCTATGCAGAGGGACATTCAGGGACATTCTTGTGGGTCCAGCTGAAGAGTCCGAGTGTTTTAGCAGGAGGAAGGGACTTCTGGTCACTGCAGCTGTCACAGAGGAGCAGCTGTTTAGCACCAGAGTTTGATTCATGCAGCCTCAGCTCAATCTGTGAGGCAGAAATGCAATGAGGGAAGCATCATGAAATTTCAATTAGCCTTGTATAAAGTGTCACCAACCGACTCATGGGCCACAAAGTAAACCCACAGAGACACAGGATTTGGTCAAAAGAGGAAGAATAGTGAGACATTGTGCAGCTATGTATATAAGCAAATAGATAGTGTGTTTTCAGCAGGAATAAAAGTCCAATTTTATTTGGACATGCTCACAACTACAGCTCTGGAGAAAATGAAGAGACCACTTCAAATGATCAATTCTCTGAATTAACTCTTTATAGCTTTATGTTTGAGCAAAATGAACTTCGTTATTTTATTCTATGAACTACTGATAACATGTCTCAGAAATCCCAAGCAAAAATTTTATATTTATTTGCAGAAAATGAGAAATGGTCAAAATAACAAAAAGATGCAGCGCTGTCAGACCTCAAATAATGCAAAAGAAAACAAGTTCATGTTCATTTCAAAACAACAATACGAATGTTTTAACTCAGGAAGAGTTCAGAAATCAATATTTGCTGGATTAACCAGGAGCTTTTCAATGGGGTTCAGTGCAATGGGCTCTTAATTTTTTCCAGAGCTGACAAATAGTAAATATTGAAGAAAGTTATAGGTCCTTCTTTCAGTTTTAATGACATTATAATACTCAAATTGTTAAAAAAACATAATTGTTTCCATATGAGATCTTATCCAGCCAGTGTGTTTAATTCTGACTGTGTATGAAAGAAATGACTCGACTCAACTTGTGTGAGGTAAAGTTGTTTTGAACTGGAAAGAGAGAAGCTTAAGTGCTTTATTAAAACACAAAATCATTATTGTTATTAATAATAATCTGAGTAGCAATGAAAGCACCAGAACAAAGAGACTAAGAGTGCCCTGTCTGTCACACCAGTCATAAGATCACCTTCTCTGACTGCAGATGTTTTTGCATAATTGATAACCTTTCAGAGAATAAAGTCACATTTCTCAGCTCTAATGATCAGCGACTGATGCGAGTTCATTCAAATGCGGCTCTGATGCTGAGTGTGCACTGAAGCATCCTGGGAGCAGCTATTCCTGACCCAACTCCGGGTCAGCACACTGACAGAGGAACATGCCAGGCAGGCATGCGTCTGCCAGGAGTCGCAGCAATGGCTCCTCTGAGAACGTACATACAGTATGTACACAGTGTGAGCGACACGTCCTGTGAGGCCAGCACTTCAGAGCAAGGTTTGGATCCAAACTTCTTCAGAGTCCTTCACCCGCAGAGCTGTGAGACGGCAGAGCAGACGGCGGACTAAACGGCGAGAGACACTCTGAAGCTATTTTTGAGACGCAAGAAGAGGCAGCAATGAGTGTCTGTAAGCATCTCCTCCTCTTCCTCTCCCCCCCTCACTTCATCCAGCCTGTAACCATAGAGACCGCTGGTGGCTGAGCAGAGGTTTGTTGTTGGTGTCAAATGAGGTGGCTGGATGGAAGCATGCACACAAAAGCACAAAGCTCCATTTGGAGACCGCCCCCCCTGATTTTCCTGTGTGAAAGCTCTCTTTTTAAATTTGCACTGTACCTCGGGAACATATGACAGCATGTGAAAGCCAGTCACATTGATGCTCGTCAGCGAACGAAGATGTAATGGCTTTATAAAGACCAGAAAGGTTGGGGGCAGAAAGTTAACATTTTTGGTCTTATTAAAACACTGGTGCACAAACTGTGAGCTGTTATGTTAGCATACAAGCAGCGCCCTCCACATTCATTGGTGGCCCAGGCAGACATGGAAAACGCCACAAGCAGAACCCTGCTCTAAATGTTTACATGTTGTCTGGTAACAAAGAAAACCCTCAGCTTGGTGAGGGATGAGGATCTCCAGGAGAATGCAGATAAAATAAAATCATAAAGTTTCAACATCAGACCCAGAGATGAACAAGTCTT